GATACGTACACATTAAACTGGTAACATTTCTTTACTTTCATTTGGTATAACTTATGGTCCAACAAGCGACATTTAGCATTCAACAAATACATATATAAAAGCATGTCTAGTCAAATCGCCGATACGGTATACTATGTTCATAATTAATAATATACACGATCCCTGCATAAGATCAGAAAGATATTCGTTTGATGAAGCTCCGCCATTTGTTTGATAAATGAATAATCGCCACAAATGAATTGAAAATAAAAAGCACAACACTATAGTGTGCGAACTTTATACTAGAGTTATAAATAAAAAATGCCGCGTTGTTTAAATACACTTACTCGATACCCAAGTGCGGTACAGTCACCACTTAAAATTTATTGCAATATTAATAATATTAAAGTGACATTTATTGTTCGCTAGCTATCGTCTACGCATAATGAATTAAAAAAGTATAGAATATTTTTACCATTAAATAAAATTATAAACTGATGAAACAATATGGTCTACTATCCTACGTGTGATCTATTAAATACACGATGTAAGAACGTGTAACATCGAAGCTCGAGATGAAAACTACTATTAGGAAAGTTAAGGGAGCCTATAATTCTTCCTAATCACCAGTGATGCGCGGTCCTAGCTAAAGAGAGTAACGCAGAGCTATGATGTAGGTGCGTTTAATGAAACGGGCACCGAGTGGCGGCGGGCGTGCCCGCGGCGCTGGTCTCCTCCGAGTGTACACGAATGCGTCTGTCGCGTGGTTACGTGCTATTAAGTGTGTCGGCCGCTCGCTACTAGTCAACGGACTACTATAAATTACACGAATTATACAGTGTGGCGGCGTACGCGAGCATGTGATATATTGTGGTATGGCGATCGCGCCGAACAGCCTCCGTGTCAGCGCACGTGAAATTACACACCCGACCGCGATGTTTGCGCGCAACACCGCTAATACCCCGCGCACGCGCATCGCATTTTATTTGCGATTGTTATTTCGTAAATGATAGGCCTACGCGCGCCTAGAGAAGTTATTGCCGCTGACCCAAAGTTATTTGCCGAGAGAAAGACTCGGACAACGTTTGTTTTGATGACAATCAGAATCTGTCTGTGTCGCGCGACGTGGTATTATCATTTGTATTGCATGTAAGTGCGGCTAAAACTCCGATGTAACTTTAGCTGACTGTGTAATTTATTGAATAACGCATTAAATAACTATGTATTTACACGGGTCTGTCTCTACATACCTTGGCGGAATCGATGTAAATTATTTTAATAACGCTTTTCTGATGCTGATCATAATTAATTCGTGAAACCGATGCGGTTATTAAAAATGTAAATAAATTTGAGAAATGACAACATAATTACGACAGAGGCCTATTTAAAATGTCTTGTATTGGCAAAAACGTGAGTGTACCGAGTTACTTCCAATCAAAGTGGTAGGCCGCTCTTACTCAATCCATTAAGTCAAAGGCTTTATAATCCAATTAAATTACTTATATCGATCAAGATAAATTTTACATTATTGTCTTAATTACAAGTTGTATGTCATCTTTGACAGCACCTCGCCAAATTTAGACGGTCATCGTAAAATATTGCTCGCCTGTAGCGGGTGAAGAAAATAAATCCAATGCATTTAACGCATGGCTACTGAAGATATAAAATTACAAAACGATTACTTCAGCAACAAGTGAGTATGACGTTGCTCATAGTCTAATGAACTATTTTGGAAAATTTGGACGAGAACCAAAAATTGATTTCTACATTCCCACGATTGATTTCAATTACGTTGTTCTTAATTAAGTAGAAACAGACACGACTACTGTGATTTTATATATCTTCATCGGTTTCTTCGCTCGTAAAATCGGGCGTCGATGTTATCGAAAACGTTACTGAAGACGCGAGTAATTAACAGGGAGATAATAAGGTTCGCGGGAGAATTTTATTATATTTTTAATTAATGGCATAATTTGTGTGAGTTTAGGTGTGAACATTGTACTGTCTCCCGTGTTACTTTATGTAATTGGTTCTTAGCTACCATATCAATAAATGTTAATGGCGTATTCGAGAAAGTTCTATGATACTTTAATTTTGTGGCGTCTCTCAATGTATGTGTCATTCGGTAGCCGACTAATTATAAACGAATGTTTTTTATTACCTGGTACACTTAAAAATCAGTTTAAAATTACGTGGTTAACTCCAAAGCAAATAATTTTAAATAAATATATATATGTGTAATACATAAAATAAAATAGTATTAAATACTTCCGATTTGTGCAAAGTTATATGTATTACTAACTATTAACACAAGCAGATAATCTTATTAGAACTACCATTACGCCATCTATACTTTAAACTTGGAAAGCAAGTGTTGAAAACTACCCTTAGAACCACCCTCTTCTATTGATGGCTTTGAAACGCCATCTGCTAACGTTACATAGAAAAGTTTGGGTGGGAATCAATAGTTAGTTTCATGCGTGCAAGGGTAGGATAGATGTCGCAGTTGTGCTTATTAAGGGGTAGTTCTATGAAAAATCTATTGGGTTTTATTAGCTTTGTGAGTAATAGAACATTTTAATAAATTAATCATTTAATTCTGATCGTCTCCGTAATGTTGTTAGTAACATGATTTAACTTAAAAACTAATGTTATTTGACATTATTACACTTTGGATGGAATTTTGTAATATGAATGTAAAATTTGTGAAAGACTCTGAGATATTTTTAGGATATATATTTTTTATGTTTTGTGTTGAATCACTAAATTAGACGGTCTACAATGCCTACTACTACTTAACTATGATTACCAAACAACTTTATATATTTGATTTAGTAGCTGCGCTATCCAGTACAAAGATTTTTTTGCAAAATTATTGAAAATGGGAGTGTTAATTCTGCCTGTTTCATCTCTATCTTTCCTTCAGGTAATAAAAGGGGTGACGTAATATCATGTCATTATGTTATGTCCTGGTTGGCAAAGCGTTATCAAACCCTGGATTACAAAACATAAAGCTATTCTGGTAGAATTTTTCAAGCTAACGTTCAAGCTTTATGTTATGTATGTTATTTAAGCAAACGAAATATAAGTAAAAAGAGAGAAGGCAATCGACACACACATTTATTACGTCTTCAATTGTTTTACAAATTCGCGGGCTCCGCCACGCACATAGATAATATAATCTATCACCATAGACTATACTATGACCAAAGACTATTGTTTTAGATAGTAACTACACTAAATGCTGGCTTTGTTTTTTTAAAAAGTAAACTGAATTTACAGGTTTTATTGCTACATTTTTTTTTACTTTTATTCGATGAACTTTACAACAGTTATTTATAGATATATTTTAATTCATTAATTTAGTAATCAATAACTATTTTATAGGCTCATTGAGGGAATATTGAGAATCGACGTTTATTTTTAAACTATAAAATATGTTTCATTGACTTTACTATTCAAGTTTAATTTATTTAAATATTATTAATTTTTTATGACGTTATAAATTATATACCACGTGAAATGAATTTTTAAACGTAATTATAATTTTCAAATGAAATTTTCTATTGCTAAACTATTATATTATTTCTTATTTTTAAAATGAATTATTGTTTCTTTTTTATGTATTAAGATTATTATTGTTCCAATTGAATACATATAAGAAAATACATACAGCAATCGTAAAATACTCGAAGTAGGAACGTTGTATTATATTTGTACATATTTCCATATTTATCTATTCAACCTTTTTCCCACAAAACTAGACCTAATGCCGCAGACATTACATTATATTATCTTCTGAAGACTTTCATTATAAATATCTGTTTATGACAAAGAAGTGATTTTTATAATAGGATGTCGCCACAATGTACAGGTGACGTAGAAACTGTCGGGCAGTGTCGCACGCCGCCACACCTGCCGCAGTATCACAACCTGCCTCACGATCAGTTCACACGCTAATGACAGATTTTACTTACATTCTTTATTTTTAGTTACAATGCAATATTTACACATGATTGCTGAATTTAGGATTAGTATGCTGCGATAGTTTACGATGAACATGTGAAGATTGCATTGTTATTACTGTGAACATAGGCTATGTACTTACTTAGTTATATGGATTTAGTTTGAAGGATGCCTGCCTATATTAAAAATTCGCCGAAATGTTTTATAGAGTAGAAGATATTTTTACAACATTATTTAGTATTCTAATCTACCTCCCTGCCGACTAAGAACATAAAAAGCGGCTTGTAAACTATAAATATCAAAGATCTAACATTATAATGAGAGTAAGCCATCAAATAAAGTGCCATTGGCGACTCACTGGGCTAGGTTACGCATGAACGTCATCAGTGCACCTGCCCACGCACCGCTCGGATAAACTAAACGACTTGTGCATAAAAACGTTATTTTTGAGAAAACAACTCAAACTGCCGTAATACTGTAATGTAGCACTGCTACGCCGTAGAGTTACGCAGTAGTTACGAACTGGTATAACAAAAGTTCGGTTTTATACGTATTTATTTATATTATAGTACTGTTCCGAACATTGTACCTATGTATGAAGCTGTCCAAAAAGTTTACAAGGCCAATTTAATAAAACAAAAGCTTTCAAGCAATATTAATAACGCAATATCGCTTCGGATCGGTTTACAGCGTCTATTCTCCATAACGACTTCTAAATAGAAGACGCGAACAGAGCCCGTCTTCCGAACATGGTAATGGACGGGATAATTACGCGCAACGACGTGCAACAATAGCGGCGCGAGCTTACCGCTCTATGGCATAATAAGCGCCGGCGTATTTTGATCAGCGCAACAAGTAGCGCGCGGGCGGTGGGGCGCGTGCCGCGCGCGCGCCGGCCCCGCCACCCGCGCACGGGCCCCCGCCCGCCGCCCGCCGGCGCGCGCGCTACTTAGCGTCGGGGGTGCGCGCCACCTCCGCCAATCCACCGGCGACCTCCGCGCGGCACAGACAAGTGCGCTCTCGATACACACACCTAGTTCACTCGTACAATCGCGATGCCGATGGCGGCTATTCACACGTACCAAAACCTTGGTGTTGATCAGAAATTGACGCACCTACAATCTCAGGCTCCTCGGAGATTAGCACCTGCTCCAGTGGATCCCAGTCGCTGCAAGAAAAAATCTTATCTTCACCAGCCTTACCCGACACAACCTGCCTCCGTAGCACGCAGGAACGCTCGGGAGAGGAACAGAGTGAAACAAGTAAACAATGGTTTTGCGGCGTTACGTCAACACATCCCATCAGCTGTCTCCGCAGCCCTAGCTGGAGGAAGAGGATCTTCACGAAAACTAAGCAAAGTGGATACTTTAAGACTAGCGGTAGAGTACATCAAAAGTTTGAAGCGGTTATTAGAGGAGAGCGAAGAAGGATGCTCCGAATCTCAGTCAGGGTTAGTCCTGAGCAATAGCGGACAGCACACTCCACCACTATCTGAAGAGTCCCACTCACCAGCTCCCTCCTTCGTGTCTGAAAGCTCAGTAGGGCCGAGCTGTCATGATGCGTACGACTCCTACGAGCCCATGAGTCCGGAAGATGAAGAGCTTCTCGACGTTATATCATGGTGGCAGCAACAGTGATTGAAGGTGAGTTCATTTTATAAATATTGTGTCAACAATTTTCAATAATTGATGTATTAACTTTTATTTGTTATGTTTTATCATTGACATGAATTCGATATTGAAGGATCTTATATTCTCCATTAGATAACATAGCACGATATTTCATGAATGAATTTTAAGTGTTAACATAACCTTCAAATTTTTGATAATGTTATTCTTATCAATGTGTTTACTTTCGTCCCGCCGTTTGTTAACATTAACTTCAAAGTTATCATTTTTTTATAACTGTCATTTGTTAAAGCTAGGTAGGGAAGCAAACGTTTTAAGCTTATCATCGTTTTATTCCAAATTATTTTTTGTAATATATAATCACCCTGGCAAACTTCGCATAGAGTCAGGTAGTTACCGTTTATAATATTTTTATGCCGACCTTTTTAGTCACGGTTACCTTAGGGACCGAATCTTTTATATTGCACAACCTGAATGGAGATTCACCTTCATCCTAAGCAAAAAGTAAACACATCAACCATTATGACTGAGCATTGAACCGTAAGATAGACTTTATCTTTTCATAGTAGAATTAGGATGACACAATGGCACGTCTCCAACAATAGCGAATGTTAAAATATGTCGCTTTGTAAAAGCTCGCTAGGTAACATTTTTTACGATCAAAAGTAGACTTTTCTATTTCAAGTTATAGATTGTAGGGACCCGCATTCCACCTTCTTATTTGCTTCAATAGCCAAACAGCAATTACTTCTAACAATCTTGTGGTTCGCCCCGCATGTAGTGAGAAAATTGCACATAAAAGTGATCTATTCTAATAGTAAGTAACCATAACAGATGACTCCAATTCCCAAGTGGAAACATGTTTTGTTTTTCACTGATATCTCTCAAGTTAATGCGTTTCGTCCGGTCAGTGAGAGGTTTTGGCCAAAAAGTCACCATATGGTCCGTCCTGATAGATTAAGTAGAACCGGTAGCGCCGCGTCTAAAAACACGATATTAAAACTTGCAAAAAATGTTTTGAGACGCTTCGTCGGCTATTAATTTATTGTACCGGAAGACGAAATCTCAAGAGGAAATAGAAGGGCGGTGAGCGACGCACACGTGTTACAATATTTGCTAAGCTCTATGCAAACATATGGCGATATCGTGCACTGTTCATGGGAATGGTATAGCGTCACGCACATCAACCACTAGCATACAACATACAGATTACCTGTTATTGTCGAAGTAATGACGCAAATATCTACAATATTTATTTTATTTTGCAAACATTTCAAATATGTTTTTCCTTTTTCCCAGGAACCGTACTCTGCGGTGATCAAAGTGCGGCCAATGAGCGGCTTGGTGATTATGAAAAAACGAGTAATCCTCAAGAAGGAGCCGAGCATCGGAGCGCGAGGGCTCCGAGAGAACCTCTAATTAAGCGCAATCAGTATATTCCTAATGAGAGGGGATAATGGTGGCCTGTAACGACCCCATCGATGCATTCCTCCGAGTGACTGAACACCAAACGAATACCCCCACTGCATTTCCCACATCGACGGAATAGCACTAAGAAGACTGAATCGATCATTTATTTGTTCCACTTAAGCATTTAGTTATATTGTAGGTGATTCCACATTACGCTGTGCATTAGTGTAGCCTTACGGATTACTACTTCCACTTAGAATGTAATCTTTACAATTTTGTTATTGTTATCTAGTCATTAATATTTAAGTTTAGTTTATGTTCAGATTTTTGAATGCGTCTGTGTACCTTGTCCGTACTAAAGATCGTTCATTTTTGTAAAATATAATTTTTGAAAATCTTGAGACAAAGACTTGTAATGTAAATAGATAAGGTAGCACCCTAAGACAGATTCCTAATATTATAAGATTTTTATGAATTAGTTATATAAAAAATACCAGTATTCAACCGGTTGGTTGTCTGTGTAATTAAATACATTTTTATAAATTCTATTTTGGTTTTTCAATCACCCATAAGAATATTACATTTGCTATGATCTCAAGCTCCGATACTAAAATTGAGAAAGGAGGAGCAAGGGCATGATCATTTATATCACGAAGGCATGATACAAAAATAAAATCAAAATTGCAGCCATAAATCTACGCATACCTGCCGACTAATTTATACGATAAAATATTCCTATTTTAAGCATATGTAGATAAGCGCTAATAAGCGTAAATGAACAAGTGTGATTTATTCACTATGCTTTGCAACATCACATAAACACAGTACCATATAATCTTAAAGATAGACACTAATTTGGTTGAGGGGTCGTTACACTGAAATATTTTAGAACTTTCTGGAACATTTTGACATTTACAATCACCTTTGATTAATGTACAAAGAGAAAAAAACCTTAAAAGGTGGTTCGTAAAAATACGTACAAAAAAGTCTGGAGTTTGAAATGTGTTATATAGAAATAACGGGATATTACGAGGGTCTACGAAGAATTGCGCTCTAGCCGCAGAGTCTATACACAAATAGCTACTAGTTAGTTATGCTGGTATCCCATCGACTACAATCACCAGAAAAACCAGTTTCTCTCAACTCAGAATTACTCAGAACGATAACCAGCTGATACATTCTATGTTCTCTTATTATCATCAACCCTACAGAAGTTAATCTAAAATTCACACCGACATTATTCATCTTTCTTTACCTGTAAGCCATAACTCTACATAGAACAAACAAGCTAGTGTTCGATTACTTTACCATAAATTATCACCCACTCTATCGACATCAATACCCAGCATTGCTTGTCTTTGGAATAAAAAACAAGCAACATTATCTACGTAGGTTTGAATATACAAAACACAGAACTCAGGACGTTGCAAAATTAAAATAACAAAAGGTGCTTTTTCCACACGTGCCTCAACTCAGGTTACATTTTGCAAAAGAAAATAATAACATATGTACTCGAAATGCACGAAATGGGGGGCCTAAACATACTCTGATGCATTTAATTTTAAAAAGACAATTCGTACTGCAACTGGATCACGTCGCCGAAAACGCCCATCGAAATCAAATTGCAATAGTAATTTTTGATAATGGAAGGGAAGCACGGGCCATTATGGGTGGATATTTCCGTCGGGGGATATTAATTGTTTGGACTTGTTCCAGTTCTATACAAGACGAGATCTGCTAGATATGACAGGAACTTGACGAACACACCTGTGGATTTGCGAATTGCTTTGTCGTTCAGTCTAGTTAATTTTCTTAAGTATTAATTGTTGGTTATTATGCGCTGGCGCATCCGTTTGCAACAAACTTGTTTCTCATTATCTTGTCTGTCTTGTTGCATACCTAGTGTGTACATTCGTTTATATAGCGATTATCACAATCTTGCAAAAAAGGTTTGTTAATTTTAATTGATTGCCAACCATTAATTAATATGCGCAGTATTTTTCCCATGATTTTATTTGGCGAATCAGAATTGTCGCCACATTCAGTCACAGTTTTTCAGCTATGTACTATTTCATAAAATTTACACAAAATCTAATCAGAGAAACTTTAGAAAATTATTGTAAGTACAGTAATGTATGAGTCGGCAAGGCATCAAAAGCACTGCGCTTACGCCTCGCGCCGCCGCCGCCCAATGTTTGGCGTCTGGGTTCGGCGGCGATCGGCGCGCGGCGACTTAGTCTCGTGCGCTCTCGGCTCCACTCGTGCGTTTACGAGGCACGCGACCGTCGCGCGCGCAGCCCGCGCAGCTGCCTGTGACTGGCGACCACTTGCCCAGAACAGATTGCTTGGATGTGATGAAAATTATAAAATGTGTGGTGGACCCGATTTTTGTTTTACAACTCATTTTAATAAAATTGGCTTTATGAAATTAAATAGCACAGAGGTAAAAGTTTGTTCACAAAAAATATTGTGTGAACAATAAAGATATTCGTAATTTTTGATGTTTTCAACTAAAATAATATATTATGATATACTTATGATAAAACTGTTTATAATTCGTAAATTTTACAACGATAAATTAATATAAAATAGAATTCACTTTTTGTTACGAATTATATCAGAACCATCACTGAATTCAATGAATACCTACTAAATTGTTTTTACTTTTGCAAAACAATGGAACCGTAAATAATATTTTTAAAATGTAACTGACTTTAGTTTATTGTCAGTTATGTCGATGAATTATTGGGAAATATTATTTTCTTTTTTAAAACACAGCTCTAAACTTTAAAAAACAGACAGAAGTTACGTAACAGTCTCATGACTAAAAAAACCTTAAGATTGAGGGCCAAGTGGTTTCCAAGGGACCCTTGGCCTTGACAGCGGGTGTAACGTTGCCGCCAATAAGCGTGTGACCTAAATCCCTTGGCGGCGCGTACGCACAACACGTTGCTATTTTGGAATATCGATCAAGTTCAAGTGCCTGTTTGATGGCATATTTTTTTTCTTTATTTCCTTATTTACCATATGTACTTGTTTTTATGCGAAACTGACCCTAAGCAGAAAGACATTTTGGTTTGAATTCTTAGTAAAACTATTCCTTAAGAAATATGAATATCAAAAATGTTACATGTGAGATTGAATAACAATTTTTGGACTACTATTTGTATAATAGATAAACAAATGTGGAATAGATAAACAACAAAACTTCACTCTATTTTATTTTAATTCTGAAGATTTTTTCATACATGCCGATCTCCTTTGAATTAGTTGAAGCTGAGATACAATAAAAATACTGAATTCCGAACAGGACGCACGAACTGTAATGTCCACAGATAATGTCCTATTCAATGACTATTTAATTAATCAGTCGGCACTGAGGTGCTATAAATTCAGAGTCCACAATAAACCTCATTAATGGCCTATAATGAATTGGAACTCAGTAGCAGGTAGTTTTATCTAAAATATCTCGCATAGCTCCACCGAAATTCTTATAGAAATAACAGTTACTTCATAGGGTGTCATGTCACCGCTCCCTGTGATGCCACCCCTAAACTTTGCATTTAATTGCCACTTCCAAAAATTCGACCTTTGAATTC